AAAGATGTCTCAAATCTAAATACTTCCTGGTTCTCTTGAAATGCCGTATTCAAACCTTGTCTCCTCCTTGTTTACGGTGATGATAATGATGGGCAATATATTTTCCTTCTCTTATAATATCTGTGTTTACTGTCACAGAGAGGCCATGCCATGTGTTGATTTTAGAAGCTTTTATAATTAACAGGACTTGGAATAAGTTCTACATAGAATAAGAAAGACCAGTTTGGGATATTAGCATTTGTGGGAGGACTAAGTGATTCTGGTTTATAATTTTCCCACTAAAAGTGCTTTCTAAGAAAAGCAGTAAGTTTTGAAAATGAACACCAAAACTGTAAAAAAGGGAAGGAACTCCTTTTAAAATGATCATTTAAATGTTAGGAGAAAAATACCCTAAAGTCTCACAATGTCAAAACTAATATTCAAACTCTCAATCTGTTTGATTAAAAAAGTTTATTGAGCTGTAAAATAAATATATTTCCATTAAATATTAAATAAATTATTTACAACTTGAAAAAATACTTTTTATCTCCATGCATCTTTATATACAGAAATAAGACTTAGGGTTAAAAAGTGACAGTTGAAAGTTTAAAACCATCAGAATGGAAAGGTTCTGTTTTCTCTGGATCCACTGAAAAGAGGAACCAATGCATCACTCAGGTTTGTGACTTCGCAGTGACTCGGATCTGATACTCTGTTAGAAAATAAAACAAAGATAGAGATAAGCTCAATTCCAACGTACCTTTAAGAAAATGTCAGAGAATAATCAGGAATCAGAAGTTCTGTCAATTTTTTGTCTAGGATGTCTTGTGAAAACTGCTAAGAGCTTTTCGAAGACAAACTATCCCTTTGACTTGAATCTTTCTTTCACATCAGCTTTGGTTATATGCCTACTTAGGTAAAGACTGCATACGCTCAACCTGTTTCATCAAATTCTGCTTAGTAAAACTGAAGCAATAGTCATGAGAAATAGTTTTCCTAACCAAATCTATGCAGTGGATATAATTAAAAATGAAGATGAAGTGGTTCAGTGTATTTATGATATACAGTTAATTTAGGATAATTAGTACCGAGGGCATAATAATAGTAGATACCAGTTATAGGCAGCCACTATGTGCCAGCTCATCATAAGTCCTTTTCCTAAAGTCATTCTGGACCTCCTTTGAGAAATTTCAATTGCACTAAATAACCAGAAATCAACCCTTATTCATGCTGGTCGTTTTAGCTTCAGATCATTAAGCCAATTCATTAATAAGTTTTGATGAATAAGTATTGAGTATAGAATTGTCATGGATAATTATCTATTTTATGACTTATTGAGCTAATTCTGTAACAGGCTCAGAACATAGTGCCTGTGCTTAACCAATGCTAAATATACTGGTTCTCCAAGCATCTGGAGTGTTGATTAAAAATGGTACTACTGACTTAGTAGATTTAGGATTTGGCTTAGGAATATGCATATTTAACAACCATCTAAGTAGTTCTTAAGTCCACTGAAGGCAGAAAATAATAACTTAAGGATGTGACGTCTTTCCCAAATGTCTGAGGGAATGGAGTTCCTTCTTCTAACCGACTTTAAGTGTGTCCTTGATCTTACCTCCCTCGTCCTCTGGAAGTTTGCGTCATTAGCTGTTCACTTTAGTTATCAATGAAATATTCCTCTCTATACCTTCTCCCTACAACATGCTCAGCTCTCCCTCTTTACAAAAAAAAATTTAATAAGAACTACAGTATATACTCTGACCAAGCTGCCTCTCAAATCTGAACCCCTCTGCCCTCCTATTTCTTTTCTGTATAAGGGTATTCCACCTGCTGTTTCCACTTCGTCCCATTTGTAGTGCAAGCTCCTGGATGCTGGCTCTTCACCATGTGAGCACAGCCTATCAGTTCAACCTTATCTTCCCCAGTGTCATTTGAACTAGGCCATTTCTCAAACATTTCTAAAATAATCTAGCCCATATCACACTATTTATCTTCCTTTCCCTTTCTAATCGCTTGTCCCCATCTCACCAGTTCTTTGAGCCTCACTTCCAGTGCCATCTGTATGCACATCCTTTTCTGCCCCCTAAATGCCTCCCACTGGATTCTATCTCTCCTTCACTGGAAACTCCTCATATTCCACTGGTGCCTTTCTTATGACATATTTTACTTCCCCTAGTATTCTCATTCCTTACACTTTTTTTCTATCTACCAAACACTAAGTTGTTTGAGAACAGAATTTGTGTCTCCCTCATCTTTATATCCCTTATAATAGTAAGGACATAGTCCAAAAGGACATAGCCCATCCTCAGTACTGAACTCCAGCTCGTGATCAAAGAATAACACTTTAATGTAGCCAATGTTCACAGTGTATAATTAAAAAAACATGTTTTGCTCATTTTTCTTCATATAATAGATGTTATATTTTTTTAATTGTAGGATATTATATAAAGATATCTTTTAAAACTCAAACCTGTAATATTCTCTTTAGTTATGCTATGGCATGTGCATTTCCATTTTCTTGTTGAAGTTTCTTTCGTTCTTCAGCCGCACCTTCATATTCCCTGAAGTATCGTTTTCGAAGCCTTCAGAGAACAAGATATTCTACTGTTATCAAAGTTCTATTCATCTATATATTGACTGGGGTTTCATGAGTATAGGGAATTCCTTTCATAAGTTGTTATAGACCGTTTCACACTTATGGACCACTCCACCAAAACAAAACCTAAACCCAGCTAAAAGTATCATGAATGTTCTTTTCAAGGGGATCTTTGTGTTGACTTTACATAAACATATTTCCAAAGTACTGAGATTTAAATAAGTGTGCCTTGAGAAGCAAACTTTCAGAAGGCATGAAACACATCCATATCCCACCACCACCACCACCCCCGCCAACTTAGCACAATTGCCATGCACAATTGGGAGATGAAGATAGTATAGTTTTACCAGAGAAGGACTGTATGCTTGTACAAATTAATCTGAATGCTTAGTTTTTTTAAAAAAAAAAAAAACAGGCTTACAAAACAAATTGAGTTTTATTTATTTCTAAATATAATAAATACCTCTAGTTTTACTTATTACTACTTATTACCAAAAAATTCAATAGTCTGAAATGTCTTAGTGCTGTACAAGCAATTCTATTTTTAGTAGGTCTTTATCTACTAAATGTTACTATTAAAATCTTAAGAACTTTTGTTGTGATGTTTGGGGAAAAAAATCAAGCTCAATTATGAAAAAGCAGCAACTATGTCTTAGGCAAGTATTTGCTATGTGTTTCAAATTCAGGGAGAATACCAGAGAAAAGGACAACATGACAAAGTTTTTCCATACTTTTCCAAAGGATTATTAAATATCTCAACTTGAATAATTACAAGCTTAAATAATTCTTTCAAAACATCTTCCCTAACTGGCAATTTCTTCTTCTATCCTTCTATGTCAAATAGTAATGGTTTGTCTGACGGAATCTTTGCTAAATACATTTGCATATTTTACTTGAGGTACTAACAGACTAAAATAAGTTCTAGGGTGTGCAAAACAAATTTAAACCACACATAAAACTTTATGTGCATCATTAAACAGTATTCTATGTGTCATTTTATCATTATCTGATCTGAGTTTAAAATAATAGCAAACAATGGCAGAAGATAACCCCTTGTTTCCTGAATGGCAGGAGTAGTAGATCATGTACACAGTCCAGCTGTTAAAGTAATTTACCAAGACCTAAAATTAGAATAATGAGTCTTGCTTTCCCCTAAGCTCTAGTAGAGGCACGAGTCATTATAGAGCCATTCACACCCTCCCCCAACTTCCTTAATTCACTGACTTTTGTTTGACAGACAATGCCATTTTTACATACCCACCAGTGTCTACTACCTGGGACAGTCTAGTCCTAACATTCATTGGTCATGCAATGAAGTATGTGGTCTGTTATTACAAGCACAGGGAAGATACTGCAGGGATGAGACAGTAATAGAATTGTCCCTGCTTCCTATGCCATGCCATATGAAGGGAATTTATTTTAATAATTGAGTTCCCATATTGCACTTGATAATAATAGGCGTAAGCTCTAAGTATGTCAGTACACCATGTATAAAAGTCCTAACTCAGAATTTTGCATGCTAATAGGATCAGAAAACATATTTTCTTGGCTCCTGGTTTGAAGCTCTTTGTGATTTTTTAGTACCAAAGCAATATCTCTGACAACCTACTATGAACCAGGTCTTAATTAGCTTTTGGGAGGCTTGTTTTAGCTTAATATAGTCATAGACGACACCAACACTCTGAGATTTGGAAGTAACCATGAGTAGCCATATAACATGAAACAAAACTATCAATTTAAGTTCAAGAAAAGGGCTTCATGTATTAAGTTTCAATGGCGGCCCAAGTAATATCCATTTGACCATATTCTATGAGTTGTCAATGAAGTGTAAAGATATAACCAAAGATCATATGCCACCAATAGAATAACTCATCTAAAATATGATACCACATTGTGTTAGAAATACTGAAAAAAATTAACCTGGCATTATTTTATTAGGGACTTTTAAGATATGCCTTACTTACAGGAGTGTAATAATAACAGCAATAGCTGTGAAGCTCATGGCGGAGACAAAAGCAGCTATAGCTGCTAAAGCAATTTTTGATAAATCGCTGTCAGCCATGCTGTGAATCTTCATGGACTTTTCCCCACATCGTTCACCAAAGTAATCCTGATGACATCTGCAAACACCCATATTTTAAAATTATAATCACTGAAAAAATTCCAATAAATTTTATGTTTGCTTTCCAGATCATAAACGACCATTAATTCTAACAGTAAAAAAAGTCATGCCATACATTTATTTGTATTTCAAAATGATGAGACACAGAATGCATTTGAGCCAAAGATCTATTAGTATAAGAAAAGTTGAGATTCGTTTGGGTGTGATATTCCAAGACACACCTTTTCATTCTTTGTGCTCCATGTATGACCAACTGATGAGGTCAGTGACTTGTTACGGAGCTAATACATTCCACTATCATTTAATGTGCTAGCGGCTTTTGGGGGGAAGGAAGCTAGAACAACATTATATGAAATCTACCTTTAGTTCCTTTTTTATCAAGAGGTTTTGTAAATATATATTGTAAAATGATGGTTTTCACCAGGGTTTAGCAAACTATCGCCCATGGGTTAAATCTGGCCATTTGCCAGGTCTTTTACAGAATGCAAGCCAAGAATGTTTTTTCTATTTTCAAATGGCTATATTTTACTTGGCTATACGAGTACATACTTCATCTTGACCCACAAAGCCCAAAATATTTCCTACCTGGTTCTTTAAGAAAAAGTTTGCAAACCCCTGGTTTATACATCGAAAAAATAAATGGTTTTCTGCAGTTAGGGGTTTCAGACACAGTGTTAGAAATATAGAATTCTACATAATTTAGGAAAACTTACTGGCATGATACTGTTTCCAGGTGCTCTATAAATTTGCATTCTCCATGAATGCAGAAATTTTGGAATTCTGCATCACATGGATTTTTCTTCTTTCTATTTCTTCTATTTTTTCCATTTTTGCCTCCCTTTTTCTTTATTTTGGGTTTATCTGAAGTCTTTTCACTTTCAGTTTTGTCTTTCTTGGGCTTAACTACCTGTTCAACTAAAAAAAAAGATTTATTGATAACAGTCTCTCTTCACCTGGAATACCATTTTGGAGACATGAGAGCAAGAAGTCCTAGCAGTGAGAGCTCACAGGGATAGCAGCCATATTTCTCTCATTATTTAACACAACTCATACACAATAATTGAAGAAAAAGAATGTCCATATTGTGTGGCACTTAAAGATCTGAATCCCTTTGTTATTTTATTAGCTTAGAAACATATTTTGAATTTATTTGTGTCAGTAATATTATTATTGATAATAGGAGTAGTAGGAGTTCCATGTCTAAGAAAATCCATGAAATATTTTAAACAATTTTTTCACTTCTAATACATACCAAGTTCTTGGTAATGAGCATTAATTTAATTAAACCCAAATCACAGTTGAATGGATTGTTACTATCCAGATGATACAGATGAGAAAAATGAAGTTGAGTAAAGACAAGTAAATTGCACTTGGACACTTAGCTAGAAAATGGCAGTCCTGGGATGTTAAAGCCTATTATTTCCTTACCATATTATGTTTTTTCTTGGAAAAAGTTTGGTTCCATTGATTAAAGTGGGATTCGAGTATATCTGATGATTTTCTTTACTCATATTGGTCTTGTGCTCACTATCATAATTGGGAATTAGTGTGTAATACTTGAAATGAAGAAAACAGAATTCTACATTAGAGTTAATCAATTTTCTCCAACTCCCAGATTACAACAGATTATAATTAATCGATACCTTCTGGGGGCTCAGTTCTGTGATCAATCTATTTGAAAAAGGGCAGACCAGAAATATTTGTACTTGCTGCTTCATAGATTCATCCTAACTCTTCAGATCCACAGAAACCTTTGTTCAGTGTTACAGTTATGCGGGGTATAGTATACCCATATGCTAAATACAAGAAGAAGGAGTTTCCATGTTAGATCTGTGCATTTTGTTATACTAATTCCTGAATAGGTTTATCTGAGCAAGTATTTAGCAGAGTCCAGTGGAAAGAGGAAAATATCATAATGTCATAATAAAATTAGTCATAATGGTTCTGCAGTACCCATTAAATAGAAAACTCTGGAAACATAGGGAAGGGTATCAAAGACAGAACACTATGATTAAGGTAATGACCAATAAATATTATGAACATTTTAGCAGTTACTATATCAACATTAACAATAGTCAAATTAGGAGCAATGTTTAATAGGTGGCTATGCAATTTTTATATTGAAATTTCCTCTGATGATTAAGAAAAGTACCACAGATTAGGATAATTCCTCTAACAGAAGCACTTCAAATCAATATGATGTACTTCATCAGATATATTACAAATTTTAGACAGAGACAAATGGTCACTATGCTGAAGTGCTTCAATAGACATTAACCCCATGGATCAATTTTCTCTCTATTTTACAACGCATTGCAATTTTATCCACTAGCCATTTTCAGCACCAACAATTCAGTTGGCCTTATGAAATGCTAACCTGAAGCATTTTTAAGACAAAAGCTTCTAGAGTATTAACGGTCTAATCTCATCCCTCGCAAAAATAAGACTTATAGATGGACCCCTTCACCTTATGTATTATAAAAGCACAAATTCTGGGGCTTCCCTGGTGGCGCAGTGGTTGAGAGTCCGCCTGCCGATGCAGGGGACGCGGGTTCGTTCCCCGTTCCGGGAAGATCCCACATGCCGCGGGGCGGCTGGGCCCGTGAGCCATGGCCGCTGAGCCTGCGCGTCCGGAGCCTGTGCTCCGCAACGGGAGAGGCCACAGCAGTTAGAGGCCCGCGTACCGCAAAAAATAAATAAATAAAATAAAAATTAAATTAAATTTAAAAATAAAATAAATAAATAAATAAATCAAATAAAAATAAAAGAAATTCTGAAGCAAAGGAGGAAAGTGGAGTGTTCGATAAAGCTTTCCCCACCTGCCACTGAACTCAGTCACTGTCCGCATGGTGTCACCTGCTATCCCTTCACCAGTTCTGGGAGCTAGACAGATGGGGAGGATTCAGGGAAACTACAATCAGGAAAGAAGAGTCCATAAGTCCTGCCTCCATAGTGGATGCTCCTAGGATATTTAGATCTGATTTATTGATGATCTGCCCTCAAACTCCAAAGTAATATGAGGGTAATGAACAATACTGACCTCTTACTTTGGTACCCTCATTTTAAGCAAATGCTCTTTTTAAAAGTTCAGATAACAGCAAAAGAGAAGAAAATTATAGGTCACTACTATTTAACTGACAAATGAGATTTGGGGTTAAATAGTGATTTTAGCAATATAAAATCCATGCGTATTTGTCCTTTAATATTTCCATAAGGTGGTATTACTATTATTATTACCAATTTCTCGACATCTAATTCACAAAGGCTAAGATTCAATCGTTCCTCTCCCATTACTTCTTTCTGTTCCCTCATTTGTGTCAAAATGCAGTTATTTAGAGAAAAGTGGTGGTGGGGAGTGGCTATAAAAGCTGAGATACTAAGAGTGGGATGAAGGGAACTAACTTTTATTAAATTCCTACCGTGTGCTAGAGAAAAAAAAAGCTGAGATACTAAGTATATAGGACTGGTTGACGTTTAATCTGTTTCTAAGATTGGGGGTGGGGGTGGGGTCGTGTAGCAGAGTATCTGGGACCAAACAGATAGGAGTTATTCATTCTGGCTGTGGAATTTGGGGCAGAATGCTTAACCTTCTTGAGCTTTAGTTATCACATCTGTAAAATGATAACAATTCCTACTTCACGGAGTTGTGAAGATTAGACTTACTAGACATAAAACGTTTGTTAGAGTTCCAGACACATAGCATGTGCAAACAAATAGCTCTTTCCATCTCAGTTGCTAGCTTACCTACTGGGCTATACAACAGTCATACACGCAAGAAAGCCCCTGGGAGATCTGGGGAGCAGCTTTTCTTTGGAAGCAGCTTTGCTCATCCAAACCACACATCTTATAGGCTATACTGTCACCTTATCCTCTACTCACCTTTGACTAAATCATCTACAATGTAGCCAGATATTTGTGGTTCGTTATCGTACTCTTCTGCATAGTCAGAGTCAATCCCCGAGGACAGTTCGCTACTAGAAGGCATTTCACTCTCAGGAGAAATCTTACTTCCCGAGGACATCTGACTTCTTGAGGTCACCTCAAATGCATCAGCAGTGTGGTCCCCAGAAAGTGGTTCCCCTTTCCCAGAGTAGGTGTCATTGACGTCTAATCCAGCAGTATAATGGGCTATGGGAGCAAGAAAAAGGGAAGAAAAGACAAAGTAAAGCAGAATGCCTTTTCTCACCAGTCAGTTGCATTCAGGAGACAGGTTTATCGTCAAAGCAGTTATTGTACATGTGCTACTGTTTGTGATTGAGTCACTTATGAAAGCAACTTCACATTTTGCCAACAAATGGCTGTTTGTTGTGCCAGTTGCAGAGCTTCTTTCATTGTTTTCTTTTCCACAGATAGGCTACATTAATTTCCACACCCCTCCCAAAAAAATACTACCAAGTAGGCAAATTAATGTAATATAATTATTTAAGAAGTAATATCTAAATATTGTCATAACTGCACATACCAAATGCATTTGTAGTTTCTAGAATGTTACCTGTTCCATTTTAATAAACAGGTTCTAGAGATAAATACCAGATTTTCCTAACACGTGCTCACATTTTTAACAAGAGTATGTATATCAAATGTAAACAGTAGTTGATAATAATTATTCTTATTGCCATTGTTTCTTATTATTGTTCTTACGTAGAGTAGAAACTAGGGACTAGGTAAGATTTGGGGGCCAGAGTTAAGCCCCTGCTTTATCTTTTAGGTCTCAATAAAACAGCGTCAGAGTGGTACTGTTTTTTTTTTTTAACATCTTGATTGGAGTAGAATTGCTTTACAATGGTGTGTTAGTTTCTGCTTTGTAACAAAGTGAATCAGTTATATGTATATACGTACGTTCCCATATCTCTAACTTCTCCCTGGGACGATGCGAGGCCCTCTAGAAAAGTAAAAACAAAATCACTTGACAGAGGAGATGGAGAATTTAGGCAGGAGGTAGCACTCCTCGGTCCGAGACCTAACCACTCTTCTCCAAGATCTGCGGAAATCACTTCACCTCTGTGTACCTCGGTTTCTTTATCTTATCTTTATCTTTATTTGGATCACAGGATCTGTAAGTTCTCCTTCAGCTGGACTAAAGTAAGAGTACAAGGATTCTCAGGCTCCCTCTTGCTAGCCTGGAACATCTAAGACACCCACCCACTTTTCTCTTCAGCCAGGGAAGGAGGAAGGGAGGGACCATAGGGAGGGAGGGACCTCGATCACCTCCCACGGGACAGTTGTTTTGGAGAAGCAGCAGCAGAATTCAAGAGGTGCCCGCGGTGGGAGAAGCGCTGGGCAGCAGCTCAGAGCCGGGATGTTCTCACCTGAGCCGAAGAGCAAGAGCGACAGCACCACAGGCGCCGGCGGCAGCAGCGGGGCTCTCATTGGTCCCTCGGAGCGGCGGCGTCGCGGTCTCTGGGGCAACTCGGCCGGGAGCTGCTGCAGGGAGGAGGAGGTAGTGGGGAGAGCGGGGACAAGGGGAGTCTTGCGGCCGTGCTCGCAGGCCCGGCCGGGCTCGGGCGCTGGAGGCAGCCCCTGAAGCTCGCCTCGGGATCCCTGGGCTCCGGCTCGCGCGCAAGATGTGCGAACGTTCCGGAGGCGCGGCGCGCACCTGTAGCTTTATAGGCCGGGCGGGGACCCGGGCATCGCCTGTGACGTCACGGCCGCCGCGGTGGGTGGAGGCGGGCGGCAGCCCCGGGAGAGGTTACTACCCCCAAACCACACACGGATGCCAGGCGCCCCACCTTCTGGGACCGTAGAGAGCCGCTGGGAGGAAATGAAAATTAAACCCCTCGCTGCAAGCTGAAAAAAAATACCAGATCTATGTTCAAGGGAAGGAGTGGAGTTTAGGTGCTAGATATCTGACATTCAAATATCCCGAAGTTTTTCTGAAAACCCTCCGAATATACTTCGGTTGATCTAGTATTACAACAGACAGGGATTAATTAGAAAAGTTCCATATTAAGATGTAAAAGTACTTTAAGACCAAGAATGACTTAGCAATAGCCCGATGTCTTTAACAAGGATAATGAAATGCATTAAATGACTAGAGAGCACACCTCCTAATGAGAAGCTGCTTTATTTACCATATCTCAACCGGGGCTCTTTCCCACCCACTACTAAGTGGCCAGAATTTCCAACCACCTCCTTTCTGGTTTCTTTATATGTCCCAGGACCCTCGTCAAAGTCATTATTTATTGATCATTTATTTTGCAGAACAGTACACTAAAAATATTACCAGTACCATCTCATTCAAAAACCTTGCTAAGTATCATTTTCCCTGTTTTACAAGAGGGACTAATGTCAGCTTTACAAAGCAAGGAGGACTTTACCCAGCTGGTCATGGCAGAAGTCAGATAGATTTAACTTCAAGTTCATCTGACTCAAAATCTCTTTCCTTTCTGATAAAGGGATTTAGACTAAACTTCTCTTTGAAAAGAGAATTTCTGGGAGAGAATAATATTTAACATAAAGGAATAATCTCTACAAGTAGCATGTTGGCATTTGGATGAAAGGTGGTCCCAAGATTTTGCCTCTGGAATCCCAAGATAAAAAGGCCCAGCTTTTAGGGCCCATTTAGAAGCTAGTAAGGCATTTTAATCATGACAAGTAGATAATATGAAGGGAGAGGGAGAAAGCTGCTTAATCTAACTTTGATGTAGAGACAACTCCAGAACTGGACTTCTCTTGACTTGAGGAATCGAAAAAAGCACTGTTCTCTCAGTGTTTCTTTGTCCTGAAGATATGTAGCTCTTCCGTGACTGTTCCAGTAAAACAGCTCTTTTCGGAATGTGGGCCACAGTGCATCTTTCCTAATTCTGGGAAACTTTTTAAAAGCTATTTATTTTTTAATGACACGTCATAATAAAGTAGGCTAAAGAGTACCATATGGTTAGTAGGATAAAATAAACAGTCATGAATCATTTCTTCTCTCCTATTGGACACTTGTGGAGAACATATTTTGTGTAATCCACTTGTTTTATGTTTTATGCAGGGAGGTAGTAAAGAGGGAGATTAAATGATGACCTGATCTCAGTAGCTCAATGAGGTGAGAGCCAGATGCATAGGAAAGTAATTCTGTTGCATCAGATGAAAAGAAGGATTGGGTGCCATGAAAAACCAGGATGCAGTTTAGTTTTGCCATGTGTATCATGGAAAGTTCTGTGGAAAGATGGAGAGGCCACTCAGTGGCCTTCCCAGCAGAAAGTGAAAATGGAAAGAATACCTGAAGTCGAGGTGTGACTGAGAGCCGAAAAGCAGACTAGAAAGATGACACTGCCCATTCCAGAGTGAAGCAGGGGCCTGCGTGGTCATCGTTTTTGGTGAATGAGGCAATTGTGATTCAGAGAGATTCACAGTCTTACCTGCAGATTTCAAAAGATGGAGATTTTGTTTAGCTTGCCGGCTGTCAGCCTACACTGGTGCGTCTTTCTGCTCTCATAGGCTTTGATTTTGTTCTAGTCCCCTTCTTCCCTTTATTATTACTCCTTCTTATTGAGGTGAATGCAGGTTGTGCATATCTGCCATCGAAAGTGTTTTACTTTGAAGTGAAAGGGGCTCTTTACAATGGAAATTGTTCTGTCTTTTTCCAATTGGAAATTTAGAGGGTGATAATTTACATTGGTGTGGAATATAACATGGCATCATAGGGACAGAGTGCCTAGATTCAAACAAGTTGGGTTTTCATATACAAATTCCACCATATAGTAAGTTACTTAATATTTGAAAAATTCGGATTCCTCATCTAAAAATAGGAATAAAGATCCCTGCCTGCTGTTAAGCAGGTTAAATGAAATAAGATACATAAACACCAGCACAGATCCTAGCATATGGTGAGTGCACAATAGATGGTAACTATTATTAACCTTGACATTATGATAGTTACATTATATTAATCACATTGAAGAACTAAGTGACTCTTATAAATGCAGCTACTCACAGAGTAAGTGAATAACCTCCTCCAATATTTTCAAGCCATGAACTTTATACCTACTTCACATTAAGATTAAACATTTTGAACATTTATGGTTCATCACAAGGTATCATGGGCGTCATCATAGTTGCATCACAATGGCAGCACCCCTGATGACTCATGGCATTCTGGAATATATGCATGAGAAGGAAACCAACCCCATGTAAGTGTGGGATTCTTTACATTCTGCATGTTAGGTTGAGACAAGGAGGAACAATTGCAAGAATTTCAAGCAGAGAAGCAACTCTTCTTTACCCTGATAAATTGATGGTTCCCTCATCTAGTACAAGGTTAAGGGCAGCCCTAAAGGCAAATGTTCCTAGCCAACCATACTCATTTTGGTGCCTAGTATCTGGATCCTGATAATATTTTATATGTATAGTGGAAAGAAACTCACTTTGACTCTGCTAAAATGTGTGCTATAGAGCCCAGAGTAGAATTATGTGTTTGTTCATATAGCTGATCTTGAGTTTTTACAGATAGCACCAGGGGCTGAGTAAATATTACATCATGGTCATTGTTATGAGTCAACAAATGAACTCCCAAACTAAAATTAAGAAATTCTCTAAAATATAAGCAACATCTCATTTATTAATAAATACATTAGCTCCATTTAGAGGTCTATCATTTGCTACTTTTCACCTTGGAATTTATCCATTCTAAAGAATACACAATTTCTAGTTCCTTCAAAAAGAGACCTTAAATGAACTTGATTTATCTTGACAGAATAAAATAAATTTACTTGCCCTTTATATCTTTCACATGATGGCTTTTGCAGAGCAAGGACTAGCAGATGGGACTGAAAGAAGTGAATGAGTTGGTACAGTGGAAACTAAATAAATGTAATATACAATTAACTACATTTATACACACACAAAAAAATCAATCCTCTAGGTAGTTCATTTACTCATCAAATATATTTTGAGAACTAGGTACTCTGTTAGGTTTAGGCACTGGGCTAGAACTTTGAATAAGTCATAGTGTCCTTGTTTATAAGGGCTTTACATTCTATTAAAGGGAAACACATAATAACCAAGGAAACAATACACATAATCAATTTAGGTATTTAGAAGTGCTAGAAAGGAAATAAAATGTGTGATATAGAGGACTTGGGATGGTGGAGGAAGATGATAAAAAGAAATACAAGATAGCTCCTACACTTAAGTAGCTCACATTTTCTCTCTAGAGGAAACAGATGGCAGGATAAAAAGGAGAGCGGGCTTCCCTGGTGGCGCAGTGGTTGAGAGTCCGCCTGCCGATGCAGGGGACGCGGGTTCGTGCCCCGGACCGGGAAGATCCCGCGTGCCGCAGAGGGGCTGGACCCGTGAGCTGTGGCCGCTGGGACTGCGCGTCCGGAGCCTGTGCTCCGCAACGGGAGAGGCCACAACAGTGAGAGGCCCGTACCGCAAAAAAAAAAGAGTAGAGCTTTCCATCCGGCCCATGGTAATAAAATTGCAGTCATTAAAAAAAAAAAAAAAAAAGGAAAGCATTATCCTATAGGACAATAATAACAACACAGAAGAGCAGAGATAGGCATGGGCAGGAAGGAGCAATAGAAACAGGCACATACAAGAAGAATGAGGGATGCTGAACAGAGAGAGGCCTTACATTGGGCCTCAAATGTGTAAAGGAATTTAGGGCATTGTTGAAAAGAGCTCATTCCACTAATCATTTCTTAAACATCCCTCTTAACAGTGCCAGACAAGAGCTCTCTTTAGCTCTTAACCAAAGGTTAGCTGGTCAAAATCACTTGAGAACCATTACAAAATGTACTTTGCATTCTCCTCTCTTGATTCAGTAGGTTCGGTGTGGGGTCCTGGCCTGTGTATTTTTTAACAGCTTTCAAGAAAATTCTGATGTGAACCTCTGATTAAGAACTACTCCACTAGGGGACACATAGGTGAAAAAAATCAAGATACATTCAGAGAGGTTATAAACTGGTGGGGCTGCATATTTATACAGATAGAAGTTTTGTTGGAAATGTGAAGGATGGAGAAATGAATTTTAAGAGGAAGCATGTAAGTGCCATGAAGACGTTAAATTTACCACTAAGAAACTCATGTTACAAACTGATTTAGACTATTCATTTAATAGGGTACTACTTTAATGTAATAAAAAATGTCTGAATATATGAAAAAGAAAAAATCCACTTTGCATATATTTCTTCAGGACCCAGTTTGTCACATAAATGGAATCATATCTACACCAAATGATTACGAGGTCTCACTAACTCAATTCTGAATGTAAGATCGGAAAACAGAATGTCTGCAACCATCATCATACAGTGAGTTAGGAAGCATGTCAAATTTTAGTATGCCATTAATCCTTTTATTTTAACATCTTTATTGCAGTATAATTGCTTTACAATGGTGTGTTAATTTCTGCTGTATAACAAAGTGAATCAGCTATACATATACATATATCCCCTCCCTCTTGTGTCTCCCTCATACCCTCCCTATCCCACCCCTCTAGGTGGTCACAAAGGACTGAGCTGTGCTATGCAGTTGCTTCACACTAGCAATCTGTTTTACATTTGGTAGTGTACATATGTGTCCATGCCACTCTCTCACTTCCTCCCAGCTTACACTTTGCCCTCCCCGTGTCCTGAAGTCCATTCTCTATGTCTGCATCTTTATTCCTGTCCTGCCCCTAAGGTTCTTCACAACCATTCTTTTTTTTTTTTTTAGGTTCTATATATATGGGTTAGCATATGGTATTTGTTTTTCTCTTTCTGACTTACTTCACTCTGTATGACAGACTCTAGGTCCATCCTCCTCACTACAACTATCTCAATTTCGTTTCCTTTTATGGCTGAGTAATATTCCATTGTATATATGTGCCACATTTTCTTTATCCATTCATCTGTTGATGGGCACTTAGGTTGCTTCCATGTCCTGGCTATTGTAAATAGAGCTGCAATGAACATATTGGTACATGACTCTTTTTGACTTATGGTTTTGTCAGGGTACATGCCCAGTAGTGGGATTGCTGGGTCGTATGGTAGTTCTATTTGTAGTTTTTTAAGGAACCTCCATACTGTTCTCCATAGTGGCTGTACCAATTCACATTCCCACCAGCAGCGCAAGAGTGTTCCCTTTTCTCCACACCATTTCCAGCATTTATTGTTTGTAGATTTTTTGATGATGGCCATTCTGACTGGTGTGAGATGATATCGCATTGTAGTTTTGATTTGCATTTCTCTAATGATTAATGATGTTGAGCATTCTTTCATGTGTTTGTTGGCAGTCTGTATATCTTCTTTGGAGAAGTGTCTATTTAGGTCTTCTGCCCATTTTTGGATTGGTTTTTTCCCATTCTGAGGGCTGTCTTTTGGTCTTGTTTATGGTTTCCTTTGCTGTGCAAAAGCTTTGAAGTTTCATTAGGTCCCATTTGTTTATTTTTGTTTTTATCTCCATTACTTTAGGAGGTGGGTGAAAAAGGATCTTGTTGTGATTTATGTCATAGAGTGTTCTGCCTAGGTTTTCCTCTAAGAGTTTGATAGTTTCTTGCCTTACACTGAGATCTTTAATCCATTTTGAGCTTATTTTTGTGTATGGTGTTAGGGAGTGTTCTAATATCATACTTTTACATGTACCTGTCTAGTTTTCCCAGCACCACTTATTGAAGAGGCTGTCTTTCCTCCACTGTATATTCTTGCCTCCTTTGTCAAAGATAAGGTGATCATATGTGCATGTGTTTATCTCTGGGCTTTCTATCCTGTTCCATTGATCTATATTTCTGTTTTTGTGCCAGTACCATACTGTCTTGATTACTGTAGCTTTGTAGTATAGTCTGAAGTCAGGGAGCCTGATTCCTCCAACTCCATTTTTCCTTCTCAAGACTGCTTTGTCTATTTGGGGTCTTTTGTGTTTCCATACAAATTGTGAAATTTTTTGTTGTAGTTCTGTGAAAAATGCCAGTGGTAGTTTGATAGGGATTGCATTGAATCTGTAGATTGCTTTGGGTAGTAGAGTCATTTTCACAATGTTGATTCTTCCAATCCAAGAACATGGTATATCTCTCCATCTATTTATATATCTTTCATTTCTTTCATCAGTGTCCTGTAATTTTCTGCATACAGGTCTTTTGTCTCCTTAGGTAGGTTTATTCCTGGATATTTTATTCTTTTTGTTACAATGGTAAATGAGAGTGTTTTCTTAATTTCACTTTCAGATTTTTCACCTTTAGTGTATAGGAATGCAAGAGATTTCTGTGCATTAATTTTGTATCCTGCTACTTTACCAAATTCATTGATTAGCTCTAGTAGTTTTCTCATAGCATCTTTAGGATTCTCTATGTAGAGTATCATGTCATCTGCAAACAATGACAGCTTTACTTCTTCTTCTCCGATTTGGATTCCTTTTATTTCTTTTTCTTCTCTGATTGCTGTGGCTAAAACTTCCAAAACTATGTTGAATAATTGTGGTGAGAGTGGGCAACCTTGTCTTCTTCCTGATCTTAGAGGTAATGTTTTCAGTTTTTCACCATTGAGAATGATGTTGGCTGTGGGTTTGTCCTATATGGCCTTTATTATGTTGAGGAAAGTTCCCTCTATGCCTACTTTCTGGAGGGTTTTTTATCATAAATGGGTGTTGAATTTTATCGAAAGCTTTTTCTGCATCAATTGAGATGATCTTTTGGTTTTTCTCCTTCAATTTGTTAATATGGTGTATCCCATTGATTGATTTGCGTGTATTGAAGAATCCTTGCATTCCGGGGATAAACTCCACTTGATCATGGTTTATGATCCTTTTAATGAGCTGTTGGATTGTGTTTGCTAGCATTTTGTTGAGGATTTCTACATCTATGTTCATCTGTGGTATTGGCCTGTAGTTTTCTTTTCTTGTGACATCTTTGTCTGGTTTTAGTATCAGGGTGATGATGGCCTTATAGAATCAATCTGGGATTGTTTCTCCCTGTACTGTATTTTGGTAGGGTTTGAGAAGACTAGTTGTTAGCTCTTCTGCAAATGTTTGAT